GATTTGAGCAACATCCATTCAGAATATGGGCAATGCTTCCATGTCGCATTAACTGAATGCAGTTCTTACTAAAGAAAAATATTTCAGACTGCCATGTTAGCATTATCAAGTGGGGTCTGTTTTGTAAATTAGCTTGTTGAAATCCAAGTGCTTTGGAAAAATAGTAGCTGCAGGCTGTAACTACACAAGAATCGAAGTTTATGTATGAATACTTAACCATATATAAAATTGGGTCAATTCCAGGACTCAGACTGTAGGACTACTTTGCCAAAAAAACTAGATCGTTCAATCTCACATGAACAAGCATTACTATAAAAATATAGATCTTTCACACGATATATAACAAATATCAGGGCTCAATTTGTATGGCAATCGACACAATAATAAATTTTAGTGTTTTAACTTTCGATTACCAAATCAGAGATCCGATTCAGTCCATAACAGTGGCCACTAATAGAGACACGAGCTGGGAGGCGTCTCACCTTGGCAGGGTAGCTCCTTGTAGACAGAAGAGCTAGGAATAGGCCAACGTATGGGAACGGAGCTGATGAATGCGGTAGCTGTGGTGAGCTGCAGTCAGATGTGGTGGTGCGGCATCCTCGCCCAGGAGCTCCCGCCGCCGGAGGGGAACAGGTTGAGGGAGGAGGCACCATAGGCAGTTCGATCTTGGCCGGAGACGCGGGTACCTCGCCAGACGCCAGCGGCAGCGGTGGTTGTCGAAGAGGAGATGAGGAGTGGCATCTCTAGATCCGATATGCAGCAGCTTTGTAGGAGGCGGCCTCACCGGATCTGGGGGCGTGCCACCGAGGTCGCCTAGCCTCCTTGGCGACGCCAACGAAGGTGAGGCCATGGAGGGCCTCTCTGAATCAACCGGGCTTCGTGGGAGCCCCCTTACCGGATCTGGCGGCCGCTGGACTCACGAGCCACCATGCCTAGATCTCGGCCTCCGTGGAGCCGTCGTGGTTGGGGGATGGGGAGGGATGGTGGTGGCGGATGAGGAGGAAGAGGGGAGGTGCGGCAGCGGCGTAGGTGTAGGGGAGGAAGAGACGACAGAGGTGGCGACGGCGGGGATGAGAGAGAGGGGGGGGGGGAAAGGATCAGAGGGGAACGGCTGGTGAGTAGGGGGAGAGGTGAGAGATATTTGTTGTACAAGTGATTTGTAGGGGGTGGCTGGTGATTGAGCCGCCCCTACAAATCGTAACACCAGAGGCGGCTGGTGAGTGAGCCGCCCCTACAAATCGACCCCATTTGTAGGGGCGGCTCGTATTATTAGCCACCCCTACTATGCCATTTGTAGGAGCGGCTGGTCTAGTGGCTCCCGAGCACGCCACTGTAGGGGCGGCTCCATCACCAGCCGCCCCTACAAAAAATTTGTCCCGTTGCTACAAACCATTTTTCACGTAGTGCCACGTTCGCTTACGACTTCCTCCCGGCGATGAATGTGTCCGGTGGTATCCTCACTCGGTTGGAACAACGACTGCTGGACGGCGACTGATGTCCACAAGGGCTGGTACACCATTTTGGCGAAGCTGTCCGCGCCAGGCGTGTCGATAGATCAATGGTGGATCACTGTCGTTTATGGGTCGCAGCTTGATCACGAGAAGGTGGAGTTCCTCGATGAGCTGTTGCACTTTCGGGACTCTCACCCGGGGCCCTGGTTCCTTTGCGGGGACTTCAACATGATCTACCACGCGCAAGACAAGAACAACGGCAGGCTAGATCGCCGCTGCATGAGATGCTTCTGTGCGTTCCTCAACAGGGTGAACCTCGAAGAGTTGAACTTGGTCGGTAGAAGGTTCACGTGGTCCAGCGAAAGGGAAAGACCAACACTAGAACTGCTTGACCGCATGTTTGCATCGATGGATTGGTTTGCGGCCTTCCCAAACCACATGCTCAAGCCTTTATCCTCGGACTGCTTAGACCACTGTCCGTTGCTACTACAGCTTAAGGTCAACACCGATCTAAAGCGTAGGTTCCAGGTTTGAGTCCTTCTGGACGAAATTGTCGGGCTTCGACGATGTTGTTGCCGCGGCATGGGAACCAAGTGTGACAAATGTGGACCCCTTTCGCGTGCTAGACCACAAGCTCCTAAATGTTGCCAAAGCACTGCGTCGGTGGAGCAACACCAAGATCGGCAGTGTGCGCCTACAGCTCGCCATGGCCTGTGAAGTCATTCAGAGGTTTGATGAGGAGCAGGAGTCCAGAACTCTGTTACCCTGGGAGGCTGAGCTTCAAAAAGCCCTCAAACTGCGGGTCCTGGGCCTAGCATCCTTGGCGCGCACGATTGCAAGGCAACGTTCGCGTCTGCTCTTCTTGCCGGAAGGAGATGCTAGCACGAAGTTCTATCACTTACAAGCCTGTCACAGGAACCGAAAGAACCAGATTGACGCGCTGCGTGTTCAGGGGACGGATGTTGTCAGTAACGCAACGATGGCCGATGCTCTCTACGATTATTACATCAGCGTCCTTGGAGCAAACTTTGAGCGTTCAAGAAGATTCGATCTGCAGACCTTGGGGGTGCCGCAAATAGCAAGGCCAGAGCTCGAGCACCTGTTCACCGAGGAGGAAGTTCAGTCAGTCATTGCTAATCTGCCGAATGACAAGGCTCTGGGACCGGACGGTTTCACCAGCCTATTCTACAAGAAGGCCTAGGGGACAATCAAGATGGATGTCATAAACGCCTTCAATGCTTTCTGGTCGCTAGACTGCCGTAGCTTCAATCACCTGAATGATGCTTACATGATACTACTAAAAAAAGGAACATCCGGTGGAGATCCGTGACTATCACCCTATCAGCCTCATACACAGTTTCAGCAAGCTCATCACCAAGTGCTTGGCCAACAGGCTAGCAGGCGTTCTGGATGCTCTCGTCCTGCGCAACCAGAGCGCTTTCATCAAAGGACGTCGCATCCATGATAACTTCAGGAATGTGCAGATCGCTTGCAAAGCCATCCATGAAAAGAAGTCGCCAACCATCTTGCTCAAGATTGATATAGCAAAGGCTTTCGACACGGTTTCATGGTTGTTCCTCCTAGAAGTCCTCCAACACATGGGTTTCGGCCAGCGATGGAGAAATTGGATTTCAATAATCTTGGCCACTGCAAGCACGAAGATTCTGCTCAACGGCCGCTCAGGGAGGCGAATCTGCCATGCTCGTAGCCTTCGCCAAGGAGACCCACTCTTGCCGATGTTATTTGTGCTCACCATGGAGGTCCTTAACCATTTCCTAAAATGGGTAGAGCAGCAGCAGCTTCTAACACCTCTACATGACAGTGTCGGCAATAGGACAAGTCTGTACGCTGACGACCTAGTTCTGTTCGTGGTTCCTAATGTGAGGGACCTACAGGTCATCCAGGCAGTGCTCACCATTTTTGGTTTAGCGTCGGGCCTGTTCTCCAACCTCGACAAGAGTGTAGCGTCCCCGCTCCACTGCTCGGAGAACGACATTGCCAGAGTTAGGGATATCCTCTCCTGCCGGATCGAGGATCTCCCGTGTCGCTATCTGGGGGCGCCGCTTTTAGTCCGGAGACTCAAGATCGGATGAGCAGCCTCTCATCGATAAAGTTGCTGCAAGAATACCGAAATGGAAGGGCAATATGCTCAACGTTGCTGGACGAACGGCTCTGGTGAAAGAAACTATGTCTGCCATCCCGACGCATATGTCCATCGTCCTTTGCTTGTCGCCTTGGGCGATCGAGTCGATTCACAAGCTACATCGCGCCTTCATCTGGTGTGGCTCAGACAAAGTCTCCGGAGGAAAGTGCAAGGTGGCATGGGAGACAGTGTGTCGCCCCAGGGACTTCGGTGGCCTCGGCGTCTCTGACTTGCGACGTGCCGGGATCGCCCTACGAGTATGCTGGGAGTTGCAGGCGCGAGTGGAGCGTCAACCCACCCTGGCTTCGAAAGAATGGGTAGTTATTGCCGTGTTCCAGGCGGGCACTGTATTCATGCTTGGGAATGGAGAGTCCACATTCTTCTGGACAGACATATGGCTTGACGGCCGCAGCATTGAGGATGCTGCTCCCGCTGTTTTCGTCGCGGTGAAAGCGAGAAAGCGGAGGGCCACCGTTGCTGAGCCCCTACACACAACGCATGGATCTGACACATCACCCGGTCGCTAACTATGCAGGTCCTGCTCTAGTTCGACCGCTTGTACGACCTATTGGAGTGGGTGCAGTTATCGGCGCAGCCGGACACCTTCGCCTGGAGGTTTACCGCCGATCAGTGCTACTCTGCAGCATCTGCATATGGTGCTATGTTTATCGGATCATCATCGCCTTTGGAGCTAAGCACATATGGAAAACATCGGCGCCACTGAAGGTTAAATTCTTCTTTTGGCTGGTCATGCACGGCAGATGCTGGACGGCGGATAGACGGTTCCGCCATGGTCTGCAAGATTCGAATGCATGCATCTTCTATGACCAGGGCGCCGAAACGATGAACCACATCCTTCTTGGATGCCCCTTCAGTCGCGAGTTCTGGGAAGCCTGGTTCAGGAAGCTACACCTACAGTACACCGTCGTTGTTCAAGATGAACTGGCTATCCCATGGTGGCTGCGATGCAGGAAGGCACTACCAAAACAGCTCCGCCGTGGGTTTGACTCCCTCTTCTTCCTCATCGGTTGGTCCATTTGGAAAGAACGCAATGCGAGAACCTTCAATGGAGTGTCAACCTCGGCGGCACGTCTTGAGGTCTCCATCCAGGAAGAAGCTGACGCTTGGTGCATGGTGGGCTACAAGCACCTCGGTGCACGGATGGCGTCAATTTGAGCCCTGCAACAACGGTCGTGAAATTTGTATGACTTAATTACAACCTCGTGTGCCTTCGTGCTCGCTTTTGGTTGGCCCTCGGTAACCTCGAATTACCGTCGCGCCCGCCTCTTATAACAAACTCTATTCTTCTTAATGAAATATGTGCCCAGGCACGATCGCGAAAAAAAAATTCAAACTTGACACTAGAGCGCACGTCAGATATTCTAATGTACTGCTACTGCTAGCCATTAGGCACGGACCGGCCCATCCACCACTTTGGGCGGCGGCGGCGGCGGCGGCGGCAGCGGCTTGACGAAGCGCTTCCAGTACCAGTGGCGCGCCCACACCTCGCGGAGTGACTCGATGGGCACGCCCTTGGTCTCCGGCAGGAAGAAGAAGATGAACGCGGTCATGACCACCACCCAGCCCGCGTTGTACGCGAAGGCGCCGTACTTGAAGCTGCAGAGCATGTTGAGGAAGGACTGCGTCTGCACGAAGGTGAGCGCCAGCGAGATGGCCTCGCTCATCCCCTGCCCCGCCGACCTCACCTCCAGCGGGTAGATCTCGCTGGGGATGATCCACTTGAGCGGGCCCCACGACACGCCGAAGCCGGCCGTGAACAGGCACACCAGCGCCACCACCGCCACGGCGTACGGCCGCGGCATCGCCTTCTCGCCGTCGGTGCCCAGCTGGGCGCCGAAGATCCACGCCATGGCCACCAGGCACGCCAGTAGGATGGCCCCGCCCACCATGAACAGCGACCGCCGCCCGACGCGGTCCACGGCCACCGCGGCGACGGCGATGGACACCAGGCTCACCACGTCGGTGATGATGGACCCCAGGATCGCCTTCTGGCTCGTGAACCCGATGGTGTAGAAGAGCAGCGGCGTGAAGAGCGTCACCACGATCATGCCCGTCAGCTCGAAGAACACCGGGATGGCGATGGCCATCACCAGGTGCGGGCGGTACTCCCGCCGGACGATGCGCCGGAACGCGCCGGACTCGTACAGCCGGTCCACCTCCGCGGCCTGCATGATGTCCTTGAGCTCCACGTCCACGTCGGCGGACCTCCCGCGGATGCGCTGCAGCGACGCGCGGGCCGCGTCCGCCTTCCCGCGCAGCACCAGGCTGTTGGGCGAGTCCGGGATGAACGTCCCGCCCACCAGGATGACGGTGGCCGGGACGATGCCCAAGCCGAGGGACAGCCGCCAGCCCCACACGGCGATGGTGTTGGCGCGGTAGTTCACCAGGTCGGCCACGAACATGCCCACGTTCAGGAAGAAGTGGAAGATGCTGGTGAACGCTCCGCGCCACCGCGCCGGCGCGATCTCCGCCAGGTACACCGGCGCGGACTGGTTCGTGAACCCCACGGCGAAGCCCAGGAGGACGCGGCCGATGACGAGCATAGCCACGTTGACGGCGGTGCAGTTGAGCACGGAGCCGACGAAGAAGAGCGAGGCCCCGATGAGCATCGAGTTCCTCCGCCCAATCTTCTTGGTGATGTGGCCGGCGACCAGGCAGGCGAACATGCCGGCGAGGTACAGCGACGAGACAAATGTGGTGAGCAGCTGGCTGTCGAAGATGCAGTACTCGTCCTGCGTCGCGTTGTTCATCTTCTCCAAGATGTCGGGGAAGAAAGCCTTCAGGAACGACTCCATCTGCGTCAACCCACCTGAAAATTTCACCATCCCGTTCTCAATTAAGCATGCTGAATCACGTGATCATCAAGTGGTATGCAAAACAGTTCATAACGGTCTGCGATCGCACTGATTACATTTCACCGATCATGTACGTAGTGCCAAATTAAGGTATCATCTCTTAGAAGTGAAGAAAAAAATTATTATGCATGTTAAATAAGGTTTCTAATAGCGAGCTAAACTATTCAGCAACGGTGAAGAAGCTAAAAAAACTCTAGCAGGATATAATAGTATCTTTTTATTTTAGTTATTTTACTTATAAACATGAGAATGAGAATTCTCAATTAGTTATGTACACAAACATAGTAGTACGAAATTTCTATGAACACAAATACACAAACACAAATGGAGACCTCTAGACGATAATAAATACTCCGCAACCATTCATTCAATCAATCAATATACTCACGAATATGATCAACAAATTCAACAATTCAACAATTATTTATTATTTTATTAAATCATTTATGTCTCAGTTAGGACTTAGGAGTAGCCGAGCTAAAATTCGCAATAAGCCAAACAACAGTGCTTAGTGGAGCTAAAGTATCAATAGTAGCAATAGTGGAACAATTAGTAATATGTAGAAGGTACCTTTTGAAAAAGCTATGATGACACTATAAGGGTCTATCTAGAACTTATGTCAACTTGAATCGCTAAAAATATTCTCTTCGATAAGTGTTTTTTCACCCTCTTCATAATGATTCCGCCCCCACCCCAGGTTTCATTCCATCCAACGAGATCCAAGGGGCTAACAGTTAGCTCCTATTTTTTAATACCAATTATTAGAAGGGCTAAACACAGGCCAATTGCGGGCTAATAAGGGTGGTTAGAGAGAGCTCATATTTAACCCATTTTTACAAGATGGACAATTTTTTTAGCTTGTGATCCAAACCGCCACTAAGTTGGATCTCTGGTTAAGAGGAGTTAGATCCGATGATCCAATGTCCAAGTCGAAGGAGACTCCGGCCAGATTAAGCAACCAATAATCTCATCTATTATTTATATGATATAAGGCCTTGATGTGTCAACATATATAGAAAGTTTACTGAAGTCGGTATGAAAAGGTGCACTAACAATCCTATTATGAATTTAGTGCATCCCAGACCATGAGACCAACCTAAAAGCGCGCCTCTATATCCATCATTGCGTGCACTCACGCAAAAGTATCATACATATTATGTTGATACTAACATCGTGTCCTTTTCTTTTCCTAATATAAGAAAACAGAATGGGCAAACGACTGAGGAATGAACTTTGGAGCATGCATATGCGCGCGTGCTGCGCTCGTCGGATTTTTTCTTCCTTTTTTTCTCTTTACCATGAAAACTTGAGACGATGACCGGAGTGCACGACCGTGACTCGTGAAAGAAGGAAGGACCCCATTGCTTATGCTGGAGATGGTGACACTTGGTAGTTGCATATATAATATCCCTCGTGGGCCCCTTGTCTCATATATATCTTGGTGTGTTTGCATTATGCGTTATTTTTTGTTCTACACAGGCACACAGCACCCATGCTGTCTGATCTGTGCTGATGCCTGTAGCTTTGGATTTTATTATAGGGTACGTGTGTGGAGCTGCCACTCAAACACTTATTATTGCAACACTTGCAAGCAAGGGGAAGTTTCGTAATGATATAAGGACATGCATGGCAGATCACACCTCTACGTTGGATGTGATGTGAATGTTGGGGTTGGGAGTGTGAGTCATCCACCACACGTCTACGTGGGCAAGTCAACAAATTAAAATTTTGTTGGAATGCGTATGTATTCATCTCAATCCACATGTATGGAAGTGGATTGGAGTGAAATTAAACTAAATTTCATTCCAATCCAGTCCAACACATGTGGATTGAAGTGGATACACGTACATCACAACAAGACCTAAAGGAAGCGAAGCAGCCGCCTCGGTGTACATCATCCTCTTGATTCTTGAGAGCCTTAACCACAGCACACATGCGATGCGAGTCTCCTTGCAGGGTATTGGTTCACACCCTCTGACTTTGTGGCAAAGCAACAAAGAGTCAAAGACGTAGGCCTACAGCTGCTAGCAGATACGACAGCAGGGCAGAGTATTGGTGCACGACCGAGAATGACAGGGCCTTGGTTGCCTTCCGTCAATACCATCCATCGTGATGCCTTGAGCACTCACGAGGAGCATGTCCTCAGGTGGAAGAACGGAACCTCCGTGGCCCGTTCCCTTGGATGTTGGATCCTTCGGCAACTAGCTAGCTAGCCTAACAAGAAGCTGGGGACAAAGCTCGGTCGTTTGCCTCCATCAGGTATCCATTGGACCTATCGCTCTCGCCTCTCGATCGGCAAATATAAACTAGCCGGACGCCGGACGCCGTACGCGGACGACAAGCAGCTGTGCAGATAAAGCTCGCTCCGCGATTTGCCGCTAGCTTCGAATGAAATCGAATTCTTTAGCTTTAAAACGTCGCAGGTGTCTGGTCATCAGGCTCGTCTGGGAGATCATCTTGAATAATCGAGTCGACATGTGAGACCGGCCACTTCATGAACTATGGGCCAAACTGTGCCGCAAAACAAGGAATAATATATATAGGAGATGCAACGCATGAATGAACAGGTAAAAGAGCAAGAGAAGTAGAGAGCGAGGTTAAGATCGATCACAGCTCGTGTATGTACGTAGATCCAGCGGACCAATCGACGAACCAAACCAAACGGCAGCAGCTAGCACTGACCTGTGATGCTGATGTCGTAGCCGAAGATGAGCCCGCCGGAGGCCGCCATCAGGCAGCTCATCACCACCGTGAAGGTGATCTCGCTGCTGTAGCCAGCGCCGGCGCTGCTCAACGTGACTACTCCCCCGCCGAGCATCTTCCCTTGTCGTCGTCCTAGCTCTGGCAACCTGGTCGACGGCCGGTCGGTCGTCGGTCAGCTCGAATTTTGATCGACTAGGAGCAAGCAAGCAAGCCTAGCTGCTGCTCCTCCCGGCGCGCGCGAGGACAGATCTATAGCTTATATATGCTCACCAATCCCCTTCTTTTTCGCCTTTTTCTATTCCAATTGATTGGTGTAGCAGCCGACTGCGCCGCCCACAGTCGGTACTCAGTACTGGTAGTTCAGTACTGAAAGCAAGAAAGAGAGTCACAGGAATCTTACTGGGATAGACTTCAGTTACAAATACTTTATATGCTTTTTCTTTCTCAATTTATATTTTTTCCATTTGCTCCGCGCGCCCTCATATATACTCCATCTATCTCTCAAACTTTTATAAATTTGATTACATTTGTAGAAAATATTAGCAACATTTGTATTTCTATATAAGTTTAAATAAAAATAGATTCAACGACCTATCTAACGATACTAATTATGTAAGTACTAATATTTTCTTCTATATATTTGGTCAAAGTTAAAAATATGTTTGACTCCTCGAAAAGCGAAAGCGACACTTATTTTGGGACGGATGGAGTATGTGTTTAATTTAACTATGTCCATCTTAAACTCTCATATATTGTACTAGAATCATATATTGTACTAGAAGAATACCCCGTACGTTGTTGCGGGAATCACGGATGATTTTAAATAAAACTCTACTACTTATGTTTACTTATATTAACAAATAAATATCATGATATATGTTAGTGGATGGTGTATCATGATGACGTGAACATTTAAATATACATGCTAGTGGATGACGTGCCAGCGTGTTTGGCTGCTCAGGTTCCAGCTTGTTTCAGCTTATTCTCCCTCACAGAACACTATTGAATCATCCGAAATAATCCAAAATCCACTGTTCAACGGATCAGCCGAACGCGCTCGTGACCTGCTTGAATGAAGATATACAACCTGTTCGTTTGGCTGGGCTGGATCGTTGCTAGTTCGTGAAGAAGTAGGTGTTAAAGAAAAATACTGTTTCGGCTGGAAATTTACGATCGTTTACGAGCAAGCCTAGCCTGCCGAACAGGCTGATAATTGTATATGCTAGTGAGTTGTTATAATCATATGCTAGTGGATACTGATGTGGACAACTTGCACGGTGAAATAGAATTCTAGTGGGGATTGAAAAATATAAGATATATAGATATAAATATAGATTTAAAAGCTACCATTCGGTCACCCTTTTGGTTATGTAAACTTATCTTTTTTTTATTTGAAAAGCCTAACACAAATCAACGGGCAGCAAAATTCAAAAGGGAAATTTAGTACCGAGAAGTACCACGGGTACCTGTAACAAAGGTCATCTTCTTAACATCATCGGTCAAGTCGTACGGTTTTACTCTCATCCATATTATTGTTATCTCTTCATACTCCATTTAGAAGAGTTTGCGCATTCATTGAATAATCATATAAGTGGAGTGTGTACTCTTTGATGTGGACTACCGACGACGTTTTCCATAAAATTATGGCAAGAATACTTGACGGACACATTCTAACTATCCACATGCATGAAACGAGTGATTTTCTAGTGCCTATAAGCACTAAAATATGCGAGCCCCTTGTTCTAGCTTCAGTAGAGTATCATGCATTCTTCTCTCAATAAGAGGGACTTGGTAAACTCTGCACATGACTGACGACTAGCTGAGGGTAAAGAATGACAGTAAGACAGTGTAACTGGAGTTTCTTTAGTTGCTGTTGTTGGGCACATAGAAAGGGGACTTTGAGACTTCAAACTTCGCTGGCTTGTTCGATTTGATAACCGATATCCTGTGCTGCCATCATCATTTGTAGAAGTCGAGTGTACTTGGACATAAGATATTTCTATGGATAGTCAGCTCATCGCAAAATAATGTCCACCAATAAGTAATGTTCACATCAACATCCTTACTCATGGCTGTCACAATTCACAAAACTAAGATATTTTGCTTTATGGGGATTTATTGATGCCTTTTGTCAGAAATTAGGAATCGGAGTTATTTTGTTGACAGAGCTAATATATAAGCTTTCTCCTATAAATATTGTTGGATCTTTGTTGTGTAACGATTTTACATGCGTCCATCATCTCGGCTAAGTGCAAGGAATCACTACCTACTAGTCTTGCCCAAAAGTAAGCATATACTAAATCATTAGTAACATATCAAGTACAGTATCTTCTTTGCCCATTTCTCTTTCGAGATTTAATTCCTGACATCATTTGAAAGAAAATTTAGAGAACAAGACTAGATTCTCGCAGCAGCGGCTAGCTATTTCAGATGGCTGCTAAAAGTCAAAATGCAGACCTTCCCCCCTTTTCAGCTTTGAAGTTTTCCACCTTCTTAAGATCCAACTGTTCTTGTTTATTGATTCCAAGTGCCATTTGTAATTTGACCGAAACAAACCTGGCATGCCACGTCAGCATATAATAGAGCTCTCCCCTATATGTGTGTGTTTGTGTGTGTGTGTATATATATATATATATATATATATATATATATATATATATATATATACACACACACTTATAATAGAGCTCTATCCTTTTCTGCATTTCAGTCAACTACATAATTTCAGTTTTCAATGTTTTTCTCTTTATTTATATTGATTTTGCTACATCATTTAAGAAATAACATATAAACCTTTTCCACAGCAGCTCAACTAGTTGACAGTTTAACTCTGGTTTTCAGTCGCGTCATGTAAACCGTCTCAGCTTAGCTTAATAATACATGCCCTGTTCGCTTGGCTGATAAGCCATGGCTGTAAGTACTGTTGGCTGATTTGTTGTGAGAGAAAAATAATGTTCGTTGGCTGAAAAAGTACAGCTTATAAACCAAGCGAACAGAATAATAAAGATATATAATTCTATTGCATATTTTTTTATCTAACTCTATGACCTCTACTATAGGTTACAATTTTTAACCCCACCACCTTCGTTATGAAAAACATAAGATAGAGTAAAATTCACCGCCAGTACTTAAATTTGGCCGATGTTATCATCCCGGTCTCCCAATTTTCAAAGTGATATCTGTAACGGTGTCATCTCAGTCCATAAACTTTCAAGGTGATCACCACCTGTCCCTAAACTTAGCCAATGGTGTCTAAACTTGGTTTTAAATCTCATCTAGATCCAAACAGAGCCTAATCCACTCTACATGCTGATGTGGCATGTTGACTGTGCATTAGACGTGGACCCAACATGTAGGGTCCACCTCTCCTCTCTAATATATATTCATTATCTTTGTCACGTGAGACCTATGTGTCAATTCGTGGACCGTGATGACATTGCGGGCAAAGTTTGGGAGTGAATTTAACTCCTCCAAAAAAATTGAAATATAGGCCTCATTCGGCTTGCTGAATCTTGACTGAAATTGGCTGAAAAACACTGTTCTGACTGAAATATTGTGAGAGAAAAACACTATTCTGGCTGAAAAAAGAAGCCGAACAAGTCGGATATGGGGTAAGCCGAACGGAGCCTATGGGCCTGTTCGCTGGTTTGGGCTGGCTGATGCTGATTTTTTGTGAGAGGAAAACACTATTGGCTGGCTGGTTTGGGCTGACTGAAACCAACAAACGAACATGCTGTAGAGATATATGTCCACATGTGGAGCCCACGTCTAAATCACAGTCAGCATGCCATGTCTGCGTATAGAGTGGGTTAGGCTCGATTTAGACCCAGATGAGACTCAAAACTAAGTTTATGGTAAAAAATAACACAACTAGCCAAGTTTAAGAACAGGCAATGATCACCTTAGAAGTTCATAGACTAAAATAAGATGGTTAGCCAAGTTTTAAAACCAACGTACATCACTTTGAAAATTCAAAGATGGGGATGACACTGTCGCTTAAATTTATGGATTGAGGTGAATTCTACTCTTTGAGATAAGACGGAGAGAGGAGGTATCACAGTCTGCAAGTCAAACAAGCCTTAAATGAGCAGAAATGTTATACAACACATATGTGTTTTAGCAAAAAAAAAAACACATGTATTTTTTTTCTCTCTCTCCCTCTCTCTCTTTCTCGGTGCGCACACGGCGAGCGCACGCGGCAGCGGAGAACCAGCACCAGCACACGAGCGAGCAAGCGCGCGTGGCCGTCGGGCGAGCGCACACCGGCACGCGAACGCGGCGGGCGAGCATGACACGGCTCCATCGAGTGGACGCGGCGGGCGAGCAAGGCGCGGCTCCGACAAGCGGACGCGGCGGGCGAGCGGATGCGGCTCCGACGGCTAGCAGCCTGGGAGGAGCGTCGAGCGAGGCAAAGGCGGAGGCGAGCAGCCTAGGCGTCGGCGGCGGAGCGACCGCGACCTGCAGTGGTGGCGGCGGTGAATATGTGATTTGTCATTCCATAGAAAAAAAATTGTTTCATGTGATCTGTGATCTTGTGATTGTCTGAAGGTAAAAGAAGGCTAAAGGTAGAAGAAAGGTAAAAGCTATTATTAGAATTGCATAAAAGACATGGTTTGCGTAGCAGCCAGATATCCACACGCAGAAGCAAGTAAGCAACCTTCTCATCCGGGGAAAAAAAAACATTGCGAGTTCGCGACACAGCAGGGCATCCTCAAGCAGTCAAGCTCCCTCCTTCGGTCCTTCCCACCCTCCATCTCGATCTCTTCGACCCGTCGGGCTTTCGCCTAGTCAGCCTCCCGCGCTACTCCTCCACCGCCATCTCCACGCCCGTGGCCAAGCCAGCGGAACCCTAGCATGGCGAAGCTGGCGCGATCGCCAACGGCCTCCCCGCCGGCGGCGGCCGCGGAGAGGCACCGCTCGGCGGCCGGGTCGGGGCTCCGGTCCCTCGCCAGCGCCGCCTTCGGGTGGTGGGACCGGTGGGCGGTCATGGGTTCCGGACTCTCCAAGCTCGAAAGGGCCTTCGGCGACCAGTTCCCCGAGGGCGAGCGCTACTTCGGGCTCGAGAACTTCGGCAACACCTGCTACTGCAACAGCGTCCTCCAGGTGAGGTGGCTA